ATTGGAAAAAAATTATCCCCTTAACGGGTTTAAAAACTGACCGCTTAATTGTTCCTATGGCAATAAAATCATAAAAGCCAACAGTCAAAGGCTTAGTCACCGGCAGCAGGACCCACGGGAGAGGGTTGTGCGCGAGCTGTCGTTTGTGAAAAACTGACCGTTCGCGCGGCAAAGACTTTGGTGGCTTTTATGGAGGGACTCCCCGTAAAAGATATATTAGGCAGACCGTTTTTACCCTTTTCTGCAGTCGTTTACCGTTCGCTTTTTATTGGTCGTTCTGAAAAACGATGACTGCATCGAGTATCAGTGTGTCACCAAACGGAAAAAAAAATACATCACGGCTTTTCTCTTGGCATCGAGGACGCGCAGCGGCCCAAGCAACTCCGACTGACGGAGAGAGAAAAAAAAGGGTCAAGAGAATTATGATCTTTTTCTCTGCGAGAGGAATTTTTGCTCTTCGTATACTTAATTTTTACAGCGTTTTTCAAACGGCTTCCCGCATCGACGCACATTTTTGAATGCCGTGCCAAACAATTGCAATAAATAAGTGGGCTTGAAAAGGAGGCACGTACGCTCGACCGAGCGAATCGAATAGAAGAAAGACGAAATAGCCACACACGCCAGTGTAACGAATTCCGAGCTCGTGCGCGAAGTCAAAGGAGAAAGGAGAGAAGAAGGACGACCTAGATTTCGGGGAAAACAGAATCGCCCTATCACTTCCACCCCTGCCCCCCTGTAAAAACCCAAATTCCCGTTCTCCGGCCTAATCCCCCGGAAAAAAATTTTCTCTTTCCTTTCTCTCTGGAGGCAAGCGCGTGCTCACAAAAGGCGCGCAGCTACCAATAAAAGGGAGCAAGTAGCAGCAGATCCGAAAAACCTACCTAATCGGGGCGTGGAAAATACGAGCGAATCTCTCCCACTCCGGCCGAGGTCGCGAGTTCGTTGACCGTGCGGGGGTGCCGCTTACCCTAACTAGGCCAACTTTTGCCTCCCCTCCCACTGTCTAACTCGGCTCGCGCGCGCCCTCCTAAGCTTCGTTTTCACGCCTCTGTTTATGTCTTATTTTTATTTCTCCAAAACAAAATCTCCTACGATCGACGTGATCTTTCGGCTACGATGAAAATTGACGATAGTCACGTGTTCCCCATTCGAAGCACGACTGTTTCGAATAGCGAGAGAGAGAGAGAGAGAGAGAGATTGAAATTGACTTTTTTCTCTGCCTGGACTACACATTTCAACGGAAATAAATTCGGCTCGATAGACCGCAGAGCCCCTCGCACGCGCGAAATAAAACGGAGAGAGATAAAAATCTAATCTGCAGAGAAGGAGTCGGGCGAATCCCCTATTAATAATATGCTTGCAGTATATAACTGGCGAGCTGAGTGCTTGTGCGTCTCCGATTTCCATGAGCATCAGCGCTAGCAGGCGCTCCGTCGCTATTTTCGATCAACTCTATTGGGGACGTGCATTACGAAGTGGGACGCTCGTTCTCGCATCAAACTGCGATAATTGGGATCACGTCGTGTCCCTTGCATCAGCCGTTGGCCGCTCGGTGCATCGACCTCGGGTCGCGAGGTTCATTCAACCACCATAAACACGTGAGCGCAGAGTGGAAAACGAGGATCTGGAGCGAGAGGCGGGTGGGTCTTTGGGCGACACACACAGGTTGCGCCCTCCCCCTCTCTCGCTCGGGTCAGAGTTCGTTGGCCTCGCGCGCGGCGCAGCCAGCCAACGCACCTACTACCCCCGCGACCGATACTCGGCTCTCTCGCTCTCTCGATCGTCGGCCCCGTTTGAACAGCCCGCCCACGCCCACCCAGTCCACGTGCCACTGAGCGCACATATATACTCGCGACAGATTGCGCGCGGGCTGCACTCGTTTTTCCATTTCTCCGAGCGTCCTTGCTCAGCTCGGCTGTTGCGCAAGTGCTCTCTTTCCGCCAACTACGTTACATCCCGGCTTGTCGATGGGCCGCCGAGTCCCAAGCGATCGTCGGGGAAAAGCAAACGCGGCATCGTCGCCGATAGCGAAAGTAGTCCGCGCTCGGAGCACGTAACCGAGGCTCTCTCTCTCTCTCTCTCTCTCTCTCTCAGCGTGCGTTGTGGAAAAGAGGCGTCGTTCCATCCGCCACGGTTTCGGCGGAGGCCTTCGTTTTCCCTTTCGCCGTTGGCACGTCGGACCACTTTTGCTTTCCGGGCCCCGAGCTCGCGACATTGGGCAACGAGCATTACCTCCTCGTCATCCGGTTACCGAACGACCGGCACGCACACTTTCTGCTTTCTAAACACAAACGCGCGAGCGCGCGAGAGTGCCTTGCAGCTACGTCTCCTCTCCGAAGAAAGTTGTTCTCTCTCTCTCTCTCTCTCTCTCTCAATCCTCACTGTATACGTTGATGCAACACCTCACTCGGACGAAAATGAAGAAAAAGGTAAACTTTACCTTCGAGATTCATCACGCTTGCGTAATCGTGGGGCGAGTCTCATGCTACTTTCGCGACGAAACTAAGGCTTTATTTCGCGAATGATCGAGAAAAAAAATGGAGAAGCGAAGCCAGTGCCCGATAAGAAACACTTTGATAAGCTTCGTTCTCTCTGTCGTGACCTACTCCGAGGTTACTCACCTTATATTTCTTACTCTCTCTCCCCCGATGATCAGAAAATAAAAAGAAGAGCCCTTATCAGTTTGACCTATAGAGCGCGATTTGTTTTTAAAACTCTCCGAATTCTCTCTTGTAGTCTGCGAAACATAAGGGAACAAAGAATTCGTCGGAAGCTCGCAGCTCCCGTGAAAGATTTTTTTGTTTCGGAGGGAGTGGGGAAAGAGCGCTCGATCGGGGTCAGAAGCGACAGCGACGTCGGCTAGGTCATTGCCCGATCCTCGGCGTTTTCAGGTTAGCCAGTGCTGCATTTGTCGACGTACGCCTGCGCGCGCGTGTGTGCAAACTTCAGCGTCATGATCGCGCGCGCAATTAGAAAACTCAACGTCGAGAGCGAGGCTCTTTCGTCACCTCTGCTCTCTCCGCTGCTGTCGGCTTGCAGCGTCGAAAGAATGTTCTCGTCCAGTTCGTTCGCCACTGAAATTTTGCATTTGCAACGCGCGCGCCGGCACACGGCCGAAAGAGCGCAACGCGCAGAGCGGCGTTCTCGAAGCGACGAGTTCTAATGCCCAAATCTTCAAGGGATTGTACTCGCGGCAGATCGGCGCGTCGTGTGTGCGTGCGCGACAGTCGAAGCAGTGAAAGCGACTCTCGTGCGAGCGCGCACACACATCTACGGTCCAGTAAAGTAACTTTCTCTGGAGCGCAGCTTCCTTTGATCCCGTCCGTTTCGTAATCGATCCTCCCAGGAGAAGCGAACAAAAACTAGAAAAGTCGGCCGACTTTTCGGCCGAATTGCGCAACTCGAGCCATTTTTGATTGATCGTCATCAAGTGGCTGCTACAATAATAATCTATCGCAGAGCGAGCGCGCGCGAGTTGAAAAACCTTCGAAGAGCGCGATGGGCTGGTAACCTCGGCATCAAGTGCACGCTCGCTTACTTTTTAGTAGGCGTATACATATCGATAAAGCGCGCGTGTATGCGTACGCGCACAGGCTCGAGAGTTTTCTTGACTCACTCTCTTACATAGATGCACTCGCACACGTACGCAGCTCGTAAGAGCAAGCGAGACGGTGACCTTCGGCTCGGCGAGTGGGGATTATCCGCTCGCTTGCTTTCCCCCTTATTCGAGCGAGACCCATATGCAGTTCGTTGAACCGGTCGCCGTCGCCGTCGCCGTCGCCGTCGCCGTCGCCGTCGCCGTCGTCGTCGTCGTCGTCGTCGTCGTCGTCGTCGTCGTCGTCGTCGTCGTCGTCGTCGTCGTCGTCGTCGTCGTCGTCGTCGTCGTCGTCGTCGTCGTCGTCGTCGTCGTCGTCGGCGGCGGCGGCGGCGGTGGCCACGCGAGTTCACAGCGCGAGCGAGCGGCGACTATAAAAGTAGGGATAGAGCGAGCGAGGCAGAAGGGGATTTGGGTGGGGATGTACTCTACACGTACACACACTCGCTCGGTTAATTTCATCTTGCCCCAGTTACGGGCCGAGCGCGCCAGGGTGAACGAACTAGCCTCGCGCCAAGGCCCCCGCGACCCACTTTCAGCGCGCGAGCGCGAGCGGTGCAGCGGCCAAAGGAAAATAAGACCAGACGGACAAGCTATCGACTATGCAACAAGCCGATGGCCACTATCAGACAGCTGTGAGCGTGCGGTTTATTGTGTTGTGCAGACGCGATAAAATAAAATAGACGAGATAAAAGAAAACACACGAGCCAACAAATTACCGATCCATTATTGATATCGTCGCTCGCGAGAGCCGGAGAGGTCGTTAGCTAGCCGACTGATCGTTGGACAAGTTGCTCTTTCGAAACTCGAATAAAAAGGGATTATCGAATCGGCGCTGCCGCGACCAATAGGAAGAAGAAAAAAAAAGAAGAAGAAAGTCCAGTCTCACTTTCGCGCGGCTGTCGAGCGAGTAATCGATCGTCTTCGGGATAAAAAGGAAAGGGCGTATTTTTGGTTTTCTAAAATGAAATCGAAAAGCGAAGAGGGGAGGGGCGAGGCTCTGTTCAATCAGTGTCGGCCTAAGGCTTATCTAGAATAGGAGCGAGTATGCGTATGTACGTGTGAGCGAGTGCAACGCGCTCTGTGGCTCTGGTCGTGAGAGAGAGAGAGAGAGAGAGACAAATATGGTGGGGGAAAAATCGCTAGCGAGTGGAAGGCCGTCCGCGAGCGCGAGGGCAACGAACTAGCCTCCTACCCGGCCGTCGCGACCTACATTCCAGCGCTGGAAAGTGAAACTGCCGCCTCCGCGTGTACTTTTTCTTTCAGCCGTCCTCTCTCTCTCTCTCTCTCTCTCGCGCGCGCGCGCTTTACAATTACCTGGCATTGTACGTGCACGCGTGTGTGTGTATGTTTTAATGTTCTTATTGTTTTTTTGTGATAACGGGTCGTCGACCTCTCATCAATCCTACTTACCAGCTAAAACTCTGCCCAAGAGATTTTCGCTGTCCTGCTGCTTGGTAGCCAATTGTTGATGGTGATGTTGCTGCTGTTGCTGCTTGTCGGCATCGACGGACTCTTGCGGTACATTGAGAATGTCCGCGCGTTGATGATGATGATGATGTATTTCCTCGGCGCTTCTTGCCTTGTACTCCTGGACAGTCATCGCGGCAGCTCCGTTGCACCAGTCCTCCACGCACTTGTCTATCATGCGAAAGCTTGACCAAGGCGCACTTTGCCCCACACAACTCAATTTCCAAAATGCCCTCGCTTCTTTGTCAGTTGTCACAGAGCAATCGTTTCGAGTCCTACGGAACACTGCCGCCAACTGTTCGTGCTATTATCTACGGCGATCACGTCTCGGCACTCGCGAACTTCATAGTTGAGATCGAGAGAAAGAGCAGCCCTTCGCCGTGGCAACAACTAAAAAGCGTGTAGTGGTGGTCCGGCGTTCGCGAGCGTGCGAGAGAGAAAGAGAGGCGATGTACGTTTGTGTTGTTGATGGCGTGCGCTGCGCTGCGCGAGTGACTTTGCCGCCGAGTCGGCATATCGCAGAGTTCGCGCGCAAGCGCAATAACGGGCTCCACTCCGATCTCTCGTTCTCTCTCTCTCTCTCTCTCTCTCTTGCTCGCGGGTGCGCGCATACAAGCGGCGGAGAGAATGAGATAGCCGTATAAGTAGTCGACTGGTAGTGCGCTACGTACGGGGATATAGAGGTGCATGTGCTCTCGCTCGCTCTGGACCCATCTAAGCATGCGCTACTTGTTGGATACTTCGGATGACGCTTGCACAAAAAAAAAAAAAAAAAAAAAACTGTCCGTGTGCGAATTGCCGTTTCTGATTTTTGCCTTGCATCTCACGCAGCTCCTTTTGAAGAACGAAACGGGCCAATTCGTACGAATAGTATAGCGCTTAATCCCGAAATTGACGTTTTCACGAACAACCATCTCCGGCGATCGAGCAGTGTGAAACCGTAATTCCGTAATTGAAAGAGCGCCGAGATGCGCGAGCGAATTGGCAAGCAGATCTGGCCCGTCATTAGGATCAAGGACTGCCGGTTGTAACCTACCCTCGCTTACTCCTTCGCGCCAAGATTCATGTCTGCGGTAAAAAGAGAGACGCGCGATAGCCTCGAATTTAATAGCCGACCGACGAATATCAAAAGTCACTCTATTTATTCGCCTTTATTCGCGTCTTCTTTTCCGATGAGGTCGAGGCGAACGGTACACGGGTCAGTTGGTTTTGGGGGTATGGCCGTTGAAATTATTGCTTACACGACGATGCCTTCTCTGCCGAGCATTTATTTGGACGGCGATTGCGCACGGCAATTAAACGTTAAGAGAGTCCTGACCCAGAGGCAGACGGACGAGGGCAAAGTGTCGAAGTGCAGCGCTGGTTGTTGGCTGGCGAGGAATTGGACAATTTTACGATAGCCGAAAGAACCGTCAACTCGAAGAGACACTCGTGTAAACTGATTACCCTAAAGGCCTCCACTGTGTCGTAAAACTGACCCCTTGACGTCGGTCGCCTAGCTGTTTCATCACTGCGCGTTGGATTATCGGTTGAGAAAACGTAGTTGTTGTTGCCGCCGCAAAAGGAAATTAATCCTCGCCAAAAACAAAAGCCAACAGCTGGCAGTCGCCTCGGCGCGCCGTAACAGTTTTCCGTAACGCTTACTCCATTTACGAGCTGCCCTCCCCGAATAAAAACTAATAGCTCGTGCAATAAATTGCGGAGCCTATAATATACATTGCATGCCTGCGAGAGCGGAGTTATATAAAGTACAAAAGCCGTATAGGATCCGCAAGGCGCTGTCGCGCGGCGGTTGTGCGCGCGCGAGAAAAAGGAGATGCGCGTGCACGGCGGCGGCGCAGCGCGACCCGTTGCACGCGGCGCGTGGCGTGCAATTTCTTTAACAGACCGCCGGCCGCTACGCGTTCTCGCGCGCAGGTATGTAACGGTGACGGACTCGCCGCGCGGTATAGCACTCACCCGGAGCCTCGTTATAAATTGCCACAGACGCGCGCGGAATTGCGTGCGCTCGATTGTCAATTCGATTCGGCTTGCGCAGAAGCGCGCCGCCGTTATGTTTTCTTTTTCCGCGACGGTGAGCCTTGATAAAGGATGTCGTTGGGCGAGATCGCGAGACACGAGGAGTAAACGCGGACGAGTTACGGCTCGATACAGGTAAATCCTCTGAGCGCTCTCACTTTCGGTATAGGTCCGATCATTTTTTCCCCCGTACTTGACGGCCGATTCGGACGACTCAACGACTGCTTCCTCCTTTCCAGTTTCACGCCTGTCTTCTCTTAATTTACTGTTCCGACCAATCCTTAAATTGATTTTCTTTTTTCCTCTCGACAAATTGTAATATCCGAGACTCACCCTGCTTTCTTTTCGTGCTAAAAATTGGAGCCGTGCTTATAACCAGCCATTAAAATAATTGATAGCTTGAATATGTGAAGCGGTAAATACACTTTACTTTTCTCTAATTGCTTTGAGCCAGTTTTTTTTAACGTGTCGCATAATGGCGTCAATTTCTATTCGGTTCGTTTCTTCTGTTCATCGAGAAAATAAAATTTCAAGTTGTAAATTGGCAATCTAAATCGAGTGATGATTTATCGGTCGATTATCGGTCGATTATCGGTCGTAATGATGCATCATAAGTAGCAAGACAAAGGCGCAAAGAGTGTCTTGCAGTTGGGAAGCGGTTCGGGAAGTAGCGGAGACACACAGGTACGCGCGCATTCCTCCGGAGCCGAGCAAAAGAATGCGGCAGACAACGGATGGTTACGGGCTTGCGGGCAAAATTTTACGGCTGCGGTTTTGACACTAGGACTAGTCGGCGTCGCCTATATAGGACCATAAATTTTCCGCGCAAGCAACGACCATCATAAATCAGTCAGCGGTGGCGCGCTTCCGAAGACGAGCGTGTGGGTGGTGGAGGGCAAGAGGTTTTTCCTCTGGCAAATCCCCAAACAAGATCCACGTTGCCGGGATCACGACTTTTTCGTGGGTGGAGCCACGAGAGCGCGCGCTCTCTTCAAAGCTGTCGTTCCGCGCGGCGAGAAAGAGAGCGATTAATCACAATTTGTTTTGGCGGAGCCTCTAGGCGGCTCGGGACTTTTCAAAATCGCATCCGTCAAGCAATATCCGAGAACAAATGGGCCTGATTTTTAACACGCTCAAGCGCGCATTAGTTCCGAAAGTCGAGTGCAATTCAATCACACGTTGATAAGTCACAAAAGCCAGACGAAAACATGTCGCTTCGACAACGTACACAGCAACAATTTTCAAACGCGGCCGATCACAGCAGACAAAGGCAATTCCAGTCAGTTGCGTAAACAAACTTTCGTGGTGGCTACTAAACCCTTGCAAAAAAAAGCCTTTAGTGAGTTACTAACAGACCTACGCATACATATACGTTATGAAAACCTGCACGGCTTTATAGTAGTGTCATTGTCTGTCCGATATTTTGCTCTCCCTCTCTCTCTCTCTCTCTCTCTCTCTGTCCTCTGTCTCTCTCTTTTTCTCGTGCTATTTCTTAATTTGCCTGCCTGCCTGCGCGTTCAAGTTGGCGCAATAGATCGCGAACGCAGATTCTGTCAAAGGGAATATCGAGTCTCATTTATCAGCGCGCACGACTGCGTAACTCAATGTATGTCTTTCTCCCTCTTTGTCGCCGTACGGAAAGGCCTGCATATGGGCGGAGATGGAAAAATTGCTAACTGGCTAATTTTTCGTCGACGTGCTCGATCATTGCCGACCCCTCCTCCTCCCTCGAAGGTTCGTGTTCTTTCGAGGCATATTCGTTTGTGGTAAACAATGACGCGAAATATGCCATTCTAATTACGTCACTGCACTACTGCTGTATCAATTAATCACACGTGCGATTTTTTTAATTTCGTTGGGAGTTACGTTTGTTATGTACATTATTTCGATCGATAAATTTATTTCTAAAATATCGTTACAGAAATATCTACGTATTTTTATCAGACTCGACGAGTTTTCTCGAACGCAAAAGACCCAAAGAACATGACTTTTCATCTTGAATGGATAACCAATATCCCTATTTATAAACGATGGACTTAAATAAAAAAGAAACTAAAAGATTGTAACGTTTTTTAGATGAGGAAACTCAGAATATTAGTTTGATACTCCACAGCAAAAGAAAATGATTCTCAGCCTTCCAATTGGTGCAATTTGTACATAAATGCAAGCTACACCTAAAAAGATTCGTAATAAAATAATTGTACTCTCTCTAACTCGGCGCGCTAAGGGTAATAGAGAAATCCGTTCTAGCTATTGAATAATACAGACAGCGAGCCGTAAATAAACATTATATCACATATTGTAAAACAGCGCACGGTGCTTTTACATAAATGTATACGAAACACACGGCGCAGCCTCCCTCACTTTGTACGAGCCAGGCTACGACGGTATATAATTGCACATTATTTTCGTCACCGATTGCGTATTATATGGCTGCTCCAATCGCCGTATGCACTTTCGCCTCCTCTCTAGAAACGTCGCCGTTCATTAACCTCTCTCTTTCTCTCTCTTCGCCATGAATGTGACCGATATATCGATAATCTATTTCCGTGTTGTTTTCTCCTTGATTTACAGCTACACGCCACAGCATAGGTATATTTACTCGGCTTGAATATTTTTGACGGCTCAATATACACGTGAAAATTGATTTGTCGATTATTGTAATTGAGTTGTTAGGATTTTTGAAGGCTCGAGAAAACTTTCTATAGATATTTCTTCAAGTATAATAGACAAATGACACTAGCTCTTAAGGGGTATGTTGTGAGTTTTTTTCAGAAATTCATTTTCTTTTAATTAGACTAAAATCAGCGATTAGTGGCTTGAGAATCGTTTCAGCGATTAGAAGGCTCGATGAAGAACTTGTCCAGCACACGTGTCGACAAATCTTTGCAGGGAACGCATAAGAAGTGTCGAAGCCGCCGAGCGAGCGTTTCAAACGAATTTGCCCGCTGATAAGCAAACGGCGCGTAGCTCGCTGGCGAGACCCCGACATAACAAGCGAACCGAGAGAGAAGCAGTCTCGCGCTCATTAATCCGCAACAGCCGGCGCAATCCAGGCTCAATTAGCCATATAGCGACAGACAATTAGAAACCAATGGAATTCATCTTGCGATCGCGCTTGGAACATAGTACGCGCTGCGCTCTGGAATTAC